CGAGTGGAGGCGGGTCGTGTGGCATTAATAGTATCGGTATAATTGTTCTGCAGAGTTAGATAAGTTCAAGATAGCATGTAGTCAAGAACGTCATGCATGCTTTCATCTTTGTGTTTGCAGAGCTTGTGGAATCAAATGGTGCTGTGTAGAGTGTAAAGTAAATGGTAACTTTTCATTTCATGGCAGTCAGGTGGTGATGTCCTTGACGTGTGAGATTGTGGTAGTTTTTGGGGGGTGGAGTGTGGAGTGCATAGTGTTGATTGTGTTGTGCACACATGAGCACGTTGACTGGACAGGATCGCTGTGACGATTACACCGGACGAGCACTACCGGGCGTGTACTTGTTGGAACCGTCAGAAGACAACTTTAGCATAAGTCTTCGACGGCGTGGCGAGCTGCAGCTGGATGTAACGCGGATCCAATTCCCGTTAGCTCCATCTGCAGCCGGCACCTTCAATAATAGTCAAGGCAAGACGGTCCGGGGACAAGGACATACCATCGATTGCACTCGGCCATCGTATTTCGGCCGCGATGTGTACATCCAACATCTCTACATGATTCTTGGGCGCGCTCAATCGCTGCAGTATTCGCTTTTCCGGAACTTCCCGACATTGGAAAACGGCGATGTGGACTGGTCTTTCTTCGAAAATGGACCGCCACAATACATCGCCGATTTTCTGGATCGTCTCGAGGCGGGGAAATCCATGAAAATGCTCACCAGGTGGTGTTGCCCCCGATGGAGGTCAGGTGGCGCTGGCCCCGGCCGATCTGAAAGTGTCCGACTTGCTGATTTTGATTCTAGTCTTCGATGTTGTGGTCATCTGACAACTGTCTTTTTTTTGATTCATGACTCATATCCAGGATGTCGTTCTGATGTATTTGAAATGATATATGTGTGAGATTGTGCGATTCTGATGATTGCGGTTGTGATGGTGTTAAAATGGAGATAATTGTTGTTTTCATGTGACACTTGCATCTTGTGACCCTGAACCAGGAAGTGGCAGCGACGTCGACGGAAACGATCGAAAGCGCGCGCAGATCGCTTTCGACGTTTCCAATGGCGACTTCTTTGCCTCGACCGGATGCGAAAAATGCAGATGGTATGTTTGTGTATGCCAGGGGTGCTTGGGAGTCGGCTGTGCAGCTGTCGGCCAGCAGTGCAGGCCGTTGCGGCAAGAAGCGTAAATTTCAACCCATGCAATGGAAGGAGCTGCGGCGAGATTTTTGTCTTGGTCTTGGATGTGAGCAAGTGCCGGAAGTGGCCGATCCGACCAAATTGTTCTTCTGGAACCGCTGCCACTTGCGTGCTTTTGCTGCAGACGCGGGCGGTGGTGGTGATTGCTTCTTCCTGTCCGTTGCTGCCATTTTGATTTTCGCTCGCGACTCAATGCCCGCTGTGGTGGATTCACTTGGACTTTCTCCTCGTCTTGCTGCCAAAGATCGAAAAGCGGTCGCACAAGCTCTGCGTGGAGTTGTTGGTCGACATTTCCGCAAGTTGTCTGGAAAGGCTTTTGTTGATTTTGTTGCCGGGTGTGTAGCTCGAGAAAAAGCTGGCGCGTGGATGGACCAATGGTCTATGCTTGCATTACTTCGAAAGTCCCTTTTCGAGTTTTTGGCCACTGTCAATGTTGTCGTGGATGTCCAGGTCCTCGACGATGCTTTGCAAGTTCGCTTTCAGGAAGGAGATAGTCTTGTCACCCGCAGCAAACGCATCCGTGGAGGTGTTGCTGCATTGACAAAGTTGCAGCATGAAGTTGCTTTGCAGCTGGAAACATGTGGCAATCGACATTGGGCGACAGATGTGGATATCGCAGCTTTGTCAGATGAGTTAAATGTGTCTTTCATCATAGCTGGGAATACGTGGACAAACACGCAAGCGGCGACTGAAAGCATCGCTGCGGGTAAGGTACTGCATGCTTATGTTGGAGTGAAGGAAACGCCTTGTCTGTGGCTGTGCTTATATTACATCGACGAAATGCATTTCCAGGTGCTGCTGTTTGAAAAAGACGGCGAGTGTCATTGCTACTTCCCACCGGATGCCTTGCCGCCGACTCTTTTGGAAGCAGTGGCAGCATGCAGATAAAGCCCAGTGGAGGCGGGGTAAGACCAAACGTAGAGTGTGCAATGCATGCGGCCAGGTGAGTATCATCTAATTTTGCTAACATCCGTTGCAATAGCCCGGACATGTCCGCATCCATTTGAGTGCAGCCGACCAAAGGCATTGGACTGCATCCGACGCCAATGCATCCGAGCAGCAAAGCTCCGTGCACCCGATAGGATTTTGTGCATCCGCCCGATATGATTTTGCCTGAGTGTTGGAAAGTATCGAAATGCATCGATTGTGTGTTTTGATTGAGAAAGTCACACTTAGCGATTGCTGCCTCGTGTGGAGGCGGGGTAAGACCAAACGTAGAGTGTGCAATGCATGCGGCCAGGTGAGTATCATCTAATTTTGCTAACATCCGTTGCAACAGCCCGGACATGTCCGCATCCATTTGAGTGCGGCCGACCAAAGGCATTCGACTGCATCCGATCCCAATGCATCTGAACAGTAAAGCTCCGTGCACCCGATGGGATTTGTGGAAAATGTTGAAAAGCTTTGTACATGCATCGTTTGGGTGCTTGGATTGATAAAGTCAGATTTAGCGACTGCTGCCTCGTCTGGAGGCAGGGTAGGATCAACTCAGTCACGGATAGCAGACAAGCTTGGCAGCATCCGTGTCCATTTTCATTGCAAGGTGGGCGCCGCTTTGTATTGTTGGACGTGCACAATGTGTTGTTAGAACAGATTGGATGAGTTTTTAAATGCGACATCTAACCTGATTCATTGACATCGGCAAGCGCCATCTTGAACATGCCTTTGGTGGTGTTCATGTTTTTCTTTTCTTCCATCTCCATCAATATCCTTTGGCACGTTTGGGGGCAGGTGCTTGGCCGTGGTTTCTATTCGCCGGTGTTGCTTCGAATGACTCGTCGAGACTGCAATGCATACCGCCAGGTGAGTATCATCTAATTTTGGTAACCTCCGTTGCAATAGCTCAGTCATGTTTGCATTCATTTGAGTGCAGCCGACCAAAGGCATTGGACTGCATCCGACGCCAATGCATCCGAGCAGCAAAGCTCCGTGCACCCGATAGGATTTTGTGCATCCGCCCGATATGATTTCGCCTGAGTGTTGGAAAGTATCGAAATTTATGCAATCGATCACCCTGTGGGTGTTTGTGAATTGAGAATTCATACTTTGGCTACTCCTGCCCCCGAATCGTGGTGGGAGTCGGTGTAAGACCCAAACGTAGAGTGTGCATCAAATGCGGCAAAGATGTGTTGACGTATCATCTAATTTATGCTAACAATCCGGTTGCAATAAAGGCCCGGACAATGTCCGCATCCATTTGAAGGTGCAGGCGACCAAAGGCCTCATTCGACTGCATCCGATCCCAATCATCTGAAGTCAGTAAAGCTCCGTGCACCCGATGGGATTTGTGGACCATGTTGGAAAGCTTTTACATATCATCGTTTGGGGTGCTTGGATTGATAAGTCAGATTTTTTTTAGCGACTGCTGGCCTCGTCTGGAGGCAGGGTAGGATCAACTCAGTCACGGATAGCAGACAACTTTGGGCACCATCCGTGTCCATTTTCATTGCAAGGTGGGGCCGGGCCCGCTTTGTATTGGTTTGGACGTGCCAATGTGGTTTTTAGAACGGATGGAATGAGTTGTTTAAATGCGACATCTAACCTGATTCATTGACATCGGCAAGCGTCATCTTGAACATGTCTTTGGTGTGTTCACGTGTTTTTCCTTCTTCCATCTTCCATCAATATCCTTTGGCACGTTTTGAGGCGTGGTGCTTTGGCCGTGGTTTCTATTCGCCTGTGTTGCCTTCGAATAACTCCGTCGAGACCGGTAACATTCAATAACCGCCAGGTGAGTAAATCATCTAATTTTGGTAACCTCTGTTGCAATAGCTCAGTCATGTTTGCATCTTTGAGTGCAGCCGCCGACCAAGGCTTGGACTGCTACCGACGCCAATGCAAATCCGAGCAGCAAAGCCTCCGTGCACCCGATAAGGATTTTTGTGCAATTGTGCATCCGCCCGATATGATTTTGCCTGAGTGTTGGAAAGTATCGAAATGCATCGATTGTGTGTTTTGATTGAGAAAGTCACACTTAGCGACTGCTGCCTCGTGTGGAGGCGGGGTAAGACCAAACGTAGAGTGTGCAATGCATGCGGCCAGGTGAGTATCATCTAATTTTGCTAACATCCGTTGCAACAGCCCGGACATGTCCGCGTCCATTGGAGTGCAGCCGACCAAAGGCATTCGACTGCATCCGATCCCAATGCATCTGAACAGTAAAGCTCCGTGCACCCGATGGGATTTGTGGAAAATGTTGAAAAGCTTTGTACATGCATCGTTTGGGTGCTTGGATTGATAAAGTCAGATTTAGCGACTGCTGCCTCGTCTGGAGGCAGGGTAGGATCAACTCAGTCACGGATAGCAGACAAGCTTGGCAGCATCCGTGTCCATTTTCATTGCAAGGTGGGCGCCGCTTTGTATTGTTGGACGTGCACAATGTGTTGTTAGAACAGATTGGATGAGTTTTTAAATGCGACATCTAACCTGATTCATTGACATCGGCATTTTGAATGCAACATCAACGTTAGGTTCATTGACGTCGGCACATGTTTCGAAAGGTGATGCTTGCTGCACAGTGCTGCCTTTGGGATGCTCGTGGTGGTGATACTGCAGAGGCACGGGAAGTTGTGTCGTCGTTCGCCAGCGCATCCGGCTGTTTGTTGACAATACTGTCGGTTGTGCCACGCCTCAGGAGGTCTGGTGGCAGTTGTCCCCGGCCGGCTCTTATGTCACATTTGCTTATCATACCTTATGCATGAAAGGGAAAACAATTATGAAAGTGATTAGTTTGTTGTTGCTTATATGCTCAAAAACACATCCAAGCTGGATGCTGTATGGCTGTCGCTCTATGAACGTGTCACCGATGAACGGTGGCGATATGTCAAGCGATGCTGCGCATGCTGGAGACGGGTCAGGTGGCCGTGTCCCCGACTTCGATGACATGGCAGTCTTGTCTGATTTGGCAGTTCCCTTCGTGGTGCAGTGGTCAGCGGATGAAAGTCATCGGTTGCAATTGGATGTAGCCCTTGCGGGCGTGGCTGCTATTTGTTTTGCGGTCAGTTCGAAAATACAGTGGGGCGCCTTGGCGATTTTCTGTGCGATCGCCTCTCGGGCATTGATACCATGCGAGCAAGCACAGGTGGAGCTATCGCCATTGCACTGGCTGGTTGTGCGGCCATATTCGCCGTCTGTGGTTAGCTTCGTAGGATCTTTGTCTGATGAGAAGAAATGTCTATTGACTTTCCAACTGTCTGCTGGACTCAATGTCCTCGCAGCATGGATTGCCGATCCGTCGCCTGCGTTAACAAATGATCTCCGAGATTTCTTTCAAGGACTTCGTGTGATGCTGTTTGATTTAGTGACTTTGGTGACTGCTGCTGCTGGATCAGCAGCAGTCGCCGATGTGATTGATTCCGCTCCGGCGACTGTGGATTAGGCAACAGCATACTCGGCGTGTCATTATGAGATTTCCAGCATTGGTGACAGGAAAGAAATGTTCTGTCTTTGTATGGCTGATGTAGGGATCGTTGAAGATGCTTGCACTGCCGATTGGGATGCTTGTTTTTATTGAAATTGCGTGTTTTATTTGCCCGTTATCAATAGATCAAATATGTAGATAAATAATATGTATATTTGCGTGTATGTATGATGATTTTATGGATTGTTCAATATGTCTGATCGCCAGGATTCACCGGCGCCGCCGTCAAAAAGATCCTTGTTGCAGGCTGGTTGGGCATATCGTGTGATCAATTGATTCATTTCCAAATATGTCTGATGTCTTTTCGTTTGATTTTCATGTATTGGTTTATATGACAATCAAGCTCAATCCTTCAAATCTAGATGGCTTCAGAGACTTTTATTGGTTGTGGTGTTTTTGGCTCGATAGTGATCAAGACTTTACAAGGTGTTGCGTGGCAAATTGCCCGCTGCTGCTGTGAAGACATGGCGTTAACTTTGGCCGGTGCTGCATCAGGTGGCGCTGTCCCCGATGTGGCTGGTGCGAGCCATCCGCCTCTTGATGGTGGCCATATCACGGGCCATGGCGGCGCAGCCTTGCGTTTGTATGCTGGTATGACCCAGCAGCAGGCAACGCAGTTTGAGGTGACGGGCCAAGTGGAGTCACCTGTCGGTCGTGGCGGCCAAGCGTACTGGGCGCTGAAGACAGGGAAAACTGCTGCGGCCCAAAGCGTCGTGAATGGGAACCAGGGCCTGCAGCTGGATGATGTTGTGCTGAAGCCGGTCACGGTGACGCACGTGGGAGTTGTGAAGCTGGTCCAGATGGGCTACCTGTACTGTGTGGACGCCAACCAATGGCGCCTGTACGCGCCTTTGCGCACACCGGCGCCGCGTGACCACGATGACAATGTCTACTACGAGATCCACCCGAGTGTGCAGCTGGAGTGAGGGGCTTGCTGCTTTGGGCCGCGACCAGGTGGCGGTGGCCCCGGCGCAGGTTAGGTGGCGCTGGCCCCAACCGTTCCGATCGGCTCGGACTTGGAGTGTTTGATGCATATAAAGAAAATGAGCTGGTGATGGCACAGCTGAAAGCGGTGTCTTTGATGGGGATGAAAAAAGAAATATTATTCTATGTAGTGACAGCTTCTTTTTGAATAATTGTGGAAGACAAGGGGCTTCACCACTTTGCAAGTCCTACATCGTGTCTGTTTTGCTTCAGTGAAAAATTTGATTGTGTCGTCATCAAACATTTTGGCAGGTCACACGGTATTGATCCACGAACCAGTTTCGGTTCTCATGCACCTGATTGTCGTCGAGGCTGGTGAATTGGGTGCGTGTGTGAGATTAATTGTGTGCTGCAAATAAGGGAAGTGGTGAATTGAAAATGTCATGGTTTAAAACTTGAAACCTATGGATGACGTCTTGTGTGTTGTCCTGATATCAACCAAGGGGATTGCTTTGGCTTGCAGAGCAAAGGCTGATGATAGGAATAGATGCATATGGTGGTAATGGTACAGCTGTGGCCCCGGGGGAGGTTAGGTGGCGCTGGCCCCAACCGATTTGATCGGCTCGGACTTGCAGTGTTTGATACATATTTAAAAAATGAGCTGGTGATGGTACAGCTGAAGGCGGTGTCTTTGATGGGGATGAATAAAGAAATATGATTGTATGTACCGTCATCTTCTTTTTCGATAACTGTGGAAGACATGGAGCTTCACCACTTTGCAAGTCTTACATCGTGTCTGTTTTACTTCAGTGGAAAAAAAAAAGGATTGCGTCGCCATCAACCATTTTGGTAGGTCGCACGGTACCGATCCACGAACCGGTTTTGGTTCTTATGCACTCGATTCTCGTCGAGGCTAGTGAATTGGGTGCGGATCCGTGAGATTAATTGTGTGCTGCAAATACTGCTGAATGGAAAATGTCATGGTTTAAAACTTGAAACCTATGGATGACGTCTTGTGTGTTGTCCTGATATCAACCGACGGGATTGCTTTGGCTTGCAGAGCGAAAGCTGATAGGAATACCAAATTCCTGCCTTACGGGAAGGTCCACAGTGAAAGGAACGTGACATGGAGTTTGCGCTGGTGCCTACTGAGTCTGGTGGCGATGTCCCCGACGGTGCCAACGCAGATCATCAGCCGTTGCTGGGCGGTGAGCTGACTGGCCATGGCGGCGCGGCGCTGCGTCTTTATATGGGCATGACTCCGGAGCAGCATGAGCAGTTCGAGATCATGGGACAAGTGGAAGCGCCCAAAGTGCGATGTGGCCGCTACTGGCCTTTGAAGACATCGGGAGGTGCGGCGGCGGCGAGTGTGGCGGATGCGCATCCTGAGCTCATGGCTCGTGATGTGGTGGTGATTCCAGTAACAGTGACCCACCTTGGCTTGGTGCGGCTGTTGCAGAGTGGGCATCTGTATTGTGCGGATGCGACACAGTGGCGTCTCTATGGGGCCCTGCGCACGCCGAGCCCGCGAAACGAAGGTGGGCATGTGTACTACGAGGTGCATCCAAGTAGACAGCTGATGTGAGAGCGGGCAGCGGGCGCAACCAGGTGGCGCTGTCCCCGGTGACAGTGAGGCAGCATGCGTCGTTGGGACCAAAAAAAAAATCCAAATTGTGGCATTTGTAGCAATCCTCGCCAGCTGCAAATTGAGATGTTTTCGTTTTTGTTGTTGTGTTGCATAGCTTGACATGAAAGCCTTTTTTTTCTGTTGCTTGACATCCGTGGATGGCGCGGTGTGTGCTGGTCGGGAGGTGGCGAGCATCGCAGAGACTGTCAGGCGCTGACAAGGATGCCGCTTTTCCCGAGGCAGCGGTTGTTGTGATATTGCTGCAAAGTAAAGCACAGCATAATACCATGCTGTTAGAAGTCTGGTGGCGATGTTGCCGGTCATGTTGCAGGGATGCATATTGAAAGTGACTTTGATGTTGCACTTTTCTATTGCTGCATTGGGACTTTCGGAAAAACGTGTTATTACGTTGCTTCTACTGCTTCAAGCAATGCTGAGTAGTCTCTGGGGTGCCAAACCCGAGGTGGCGGTGTCCCCAGGGCAGATGAAGCAAATGTTTCTACGATCGGGGTTTGACGAGGTTGTGGACGCGCAAAGTGTGCGCTATGAAGTTCCAGTTGTTGTTCTGGAATGCATCGTCAAGCCTGTGAAAAGCTTCTTCAAATGCATCGCATTGGTGATGGATGAGTTTCGACGCCGCACGTGGTGTGAAGCCATTGGTGCCAAAGCTGACATGGAGCAGCTACAACAGAAACTCAAACCAGGTGCTTTGATGTGCTTTCGCGCTCTGTGCTTCAAGAAAAGTGTGTACCACTCGGGTGGCAAGTACATCGATCTGACGAAGAAGCAGAATGTGAAAGTGGAACTGTTGGCGCCCACTGATCCGGCATATGTGGCGTTGCAGAAAAGCGTCGGCTTTGGCCCTGTGACGTTGGGTCACATTGCAGACCTGACGACGTTGGGACAGGGAAGCAAAGCAGATCTACTCTGCAAGATTTGCGATTTGAATGTGCGTGTGATCAAAGAGAACCAGGCCTGATATGTTTTTGGCAATTTTGAAATTTGTTTCGTTTCCATGATTATAATATAGCGAAGTACACAAATGCATGTGAAGCTGATTCCTGCATGTTAGGAAAAGGTGGAGCTGTGGGTGAAAGACGCTTCGGACAAGCGTCTACTGGTGGAAGCTTGGGGGAAAAATTTCGCTGGGCAGTTGCGTGGATATGGCGCAACGCAGATTGTCCTGCTGATGAACTTCTCAGTCCGTCAAACTTCCGACGGCCAGTCGTGTACGCTCACAGGAGAACATGCCGGACAGACAGAAAGAGGCGCTGCTTTTATTTTGGCACCGACTGCAGAAGATGTCGTGAAACAATTTGCCGCGGTTGACATTGATGGCGGCGATGCCATCTCAGTGCCATGGCAGCCGGAGAATCCGCAGATGACGGCCACGGGGAAGTGTTTTACCGCTTGCTTAGCTTCTGTGAAGAATTCGTCTTTGGCTTTTGGTTTGGACTTTGCGCGACCCGTCGCGAACCGAGCTGGTGGCGGTGTCCCCGCGGGTGTTGTGGCGGAGATCTGGTTGCCAGATGAGGTTCGTGTCTTCGTGCCGGGCGTGTGGCTGACGGAAGTGCGAGATGGAGATCTTTTGTACATTCCCTGCTCGATCTGCAAGAAGAAGATGCCCGAGGGTGCTGTGAGTTGCCCGCATGGCCAATGCACGGGGGTGCCGAGCGCGGAGAAAGTAGTTCTGACGTCGGTGACGTTAGCGGATTCGACGGGCTCCCTCCGGAATGTGCTCTGTCGGGGTGACGAGCTCGCAGCTTTCACTTCTTTGCGTTCTGTTCAAGGTTTGGAAACGTGTTTGCGAGAAGAGGGACACGTCAGCCTTCCTTTCCGAGCTCGCTGTGATGTGATTATCGGCTCCCAGAAGGCGACGCAGTATGAAACGGTCACCGTAGCCAATTCTGAGTTGCTGGCAGCTACTCCGAAGTTACTCGAGGAGTGGGACACCGAGAGCAGACCTGCGCCGTTGTATGTGTTTCAAGGCACTGAGGCAGGAATTGTTGGTGTGACTGTCGCATTTTATAGAGTAGAAATCGTTACACCAGGAAGTCGTTGTGAAAAATGACAAACGTCGGCAGGTGCGGATGGGGCGTGTTCTGCCCGTGGCATCTGTGGCGGAGTTTCTTGTCTCTCCAGCCGGAATGCAGCATCAGCCCAGTAAATCCATGCCGGAACACATTAGCATGGTTGTGGCAGCTCTTGACAAGCCGAAGCCTGAGGCCATTGATGGAATGTCAGGAACGGTCCGAGTTCGTCACGGCAATGTCGTGTCGCTCTGTGATCCTGACAAGCATGCTTTCAGCACGGAGGCTTTGTGTAACATGGCTGACATCTTCGCGTACAACATGGTCGATGGGAAGCCACGGTATGTGGTGGGTTCGATTCGTTTGGCTGACAAGGGCTATGTGATCACGGTCGCTCGGGTGTTTGCGTTGGACATGGACGAAGCTACTGTCCGTGATCTGCACGCGAAAGAAATTAGTGCGTTGCAGGGGTTGACCGTTCGGCGGGGCCCGAAGCAGAAGGCGGACGCATTGATGGAGGCGACGCCTGCCAAGAGACCGTATCACCATCCGTCTGGTCAGTCCTGATCGGTCACAACATTATGTTTTTTGTTGATTTTGTCAACCGACAGAATTATTTGATTGTAGTTGATGATGTAGTGATTACGATGTTTCATTCTGTGGCAGTCAGGCGGTCATGTCGGCGGCTCATGAGAATGTGATGTTTTCTCCAAATTCATGCCCATATAAATTGATGCGAACTGATTGTGTCGCGGAAACAGATTGTGGATGCTGCTGCTGTGGATAGTATAGCTTGGTTGTGAAGTGTGCGTTAGAGGATGAGCTGGGGTGGCTGAGCGTTTGTTCGCTCCATGTTGTCTTGGTGGTAGTGCCATGTTGCAACGCTTTGAAACTGGCTGCAACTAGTTCTGATTTGCACCTCAAGTCGCTGAAGGCATGACAACAGGTCATCGTCCTTCATCCGCTGCGAGGCCAGGTGGCGATGTCCCCGACTCGGAATCGTCCACATGGGAAGCCGGAGCTGCAGCAGCTACGTCAAAATGTGCCATTCCGTTATTGCCATGGCTGGATGGCATCAAGAAAGGTCGCTGTGAGGTCGCTGGTGAAGAATGTGTGCAGTACAGCTTCTCCGTCGAATCTCCCAGTGAAGTGAAATATCTCGTGAAAGACCTGACTCGGCAATATGAGGCAGAGTTTTGGTGCAGAATCTCTGTTCGGGGGAGGAAGGCTTTCAGAGCGCAGCAAGATGGTGCGGACGAGGGGAAGCTCTTGCGTGCGTCTTTGTATCCGCTACCTACTTTCTGGGGCAGGAGAGCACGCTTGCGTGCGCTGGCAGCTGCGGAGAAAGAGTTCGACGCGGTGATCCAGTCTTTCGTGGGCGTCGCTGCAAGCAAAGATGTTGTGACGTAGTTGATGACAACAGGAAGAGAAAGCTGGTGGCAGAGCTGAGAACAATATAGACTGTTTCGCATGTTTGATAGATAAAAAATAAAGTGTCGACGCATTGCTTGTCGCTGTGACTTGATGAGTCTCAATGCACTGCTTGTCGTCACCACTGCTTCGCTTTGTTGGTTTGATTTTGTTGTTGGTATGATCGGAATGGCCGTACATGGCACGCTGTGGGTTCATGATGGCGACTTTCAATTCATTTCTAGAAAAGTATTCACTGGTGAACAAGAAGGTGCTTGGACTGTGCAGTCAACGTAGCTCCGGAATATCAGTGTAAGCGGAAGCGATTCAGTTGTTGCTCATGCTCGCATGTGTGGATCTTTGTGAAAATGCTTCAAGCATGCAAGTATGATGTTGTTGCTAACAGCATTTGTTACAGCAATCTGTTGGAAGGTGATACCTGCTGCATCGGGTTCTTCTTCATGGCGCTGCCTATGGAGCGCCCCAGCTGGCGTCGCTGCGGAGGCAATGGGTATTCTACCGATGGTGTGGTGGTGATCTCCACAGCCGACTTGCATTTTGCGGTATGGTCATGCTGGAATGGGTTTGATTGAGTTGTCTTCATTCATGTGATCCGAGCTTATGAATACATGTGTATAGTCATGAATATACGTGTATAGAAATCTTGAATATATATGTGTATAGCGTGGAAATGGGAAAAAATGTATGAATTCGAAACGCTATGGTGTTGCTTTTTTTGCTCAAAGCAATGCTGAGTAGTGTCTGTGGTGCCAAACCCAGGGCGGTGGTGTCTCCGACGTCAAAGCCGTGCGGTCAGACATGCCAACAGAAAAAGTCAACTTGAGCGAATGGTTGGACGGTGCGAGCAAGGGCCGCAAGTCAACGCCATTTGACGAATGCATCCAATACGGCGTGCATCTGGACTTTCCGAAAGATGAGAAGTATGTGGTGAAGCACTTGAATCGCCGTTACCAATCGGAGTTCGGCTGCATCGTGTCCATGCGAGGAAGAAGACAGAATGAATTCAAAAAGCTCAAGTTTGTGGAAGCATCAGATACACGCAAGTTCCTCGTGGCGTCCTTGTATCCCATGTCGAAGTTGAAGAACGAGGCTGAGCGCTCGCGATGCTTGGCGGCGGCTGAGAAGCATTTTGACGCCACGCTGCGTGACCTGCTGCAAGTTGGGGCGCGCCGTGTGTCGGCGGAACCGCCAGGAAGCAGACGAGCATCAGGTGGCGATGTCCCCGATGTGTGCGAGCCGCCGAAGAGGAGTCAGTGTGGTTGCATACTGTACTGTGTAGCAAATCTTGAATAGCAGCTTGCATTTGTTCTGTTAGCTTTTGTTTTACGAAGTGAATAGCAGCTTGCATTTGTTCTGTTAGCTTTTGTTCTACGAATTGATTGTAACACTGGTGATTCATCAAAGCATGTGACAGGATTGCAACATAAAAGCCTGTGACAGGATTGCAACACTGGTGACTCATTCCGATGGCAACGTGGCGGGCTGGGAATTTCCACG